CAACAACAACAATAACAAAAAAAATTTATAAAGACTAAAAGTTAAAATGCGGTAAATTATAGGGATAAAAATTATATTTAAATCTTAAATATAATTTATATATTCAAACATAATATTTATTTTATATATAATTTATTATAAATTTTAATTATATGTAATATGTACATTTCACATACTAAAATACTAATACTTATTGACTATATATTTATGGAGGTTTTTTATAGTTAATATATTTTTTTTCAAGTTTGTAATGAACAGAAGATAAATGAACCAATACTATCATGTACCAAAAAATATGAACTAATGCTATCAAGGAAAATATTGGATTCCTGGCTGCAATTTGTGATAGTAATTGTCAACTATGATTCATGAATAAGCCACTAATTGACGCCGTATCTGCAGGTGCTAGGATATGGATGGGCCGGTTTACTGAGGAAATACGTGGTAGAGCCAGCCCATATGTGGTGGCCCAGCACCCTCGTCCAAGTTTCCCTTTTCCGGTATGTCAAAAAAACAATGAAAAACTCCTTATACGAAAGAATATTTGAGAATTGATTTGAAAAAATATGTAAGAAATAGAGTGAAATAAAATATAATTTATAATTATTTAAAGAATAAAATCATGTGAAAAATAAAATAAATTTAATATTTATAATTATTATTTTTATCCTCATTTTATAATATAATTTGAATTAATATTTTTTATATTATATAGTTTTATACATTTTTCAAATTTTACAAAAATATTCTCAATGAAAAAGATATAAAAAAATTAATGTGAGATTTATTTCTAATTCCTCAAAATTCTTCTTAAATATCCTCTTTTTGATATAATTCTTTTTCTTCAAATCCACTCTGATGTTTCCCATTCCAATTAAAGTTTTAATCCTTCCTTGGTGTAAAAAAAAAAATTATAATCCTTCCCCCGTTGAGTTTTTATTGTTAAAATTTTGATAATTTTTACGCTTAATCGTCTTTTCATATAATTTTGATAACTTCCCTGTCTAATCAATAGTTATTTTTTCAATCAAAAGAGATTTTAACTTTTCTAAGTTATTTTAATTAATGGATTTTTTAATCAACTGATAGAATAAGCTATAATAAATTATTTGCAAATCATTATTATCGTAATTATTTTTTAAATCAAAATTTCTAAATATCTGTATTTTTGCATTTATATTTTTTTATCAGTAGTACTTTTTTTAATACTTTTGATTTTACATTTTTTTTTCTTCATATTTCAGTGTATTTTCTTAAATGTTCTAATAATGATGCATAGTATACTTGCTGGTAGAATATTTTTGTAATATCCACATATTCTTCAAATCCTTCTGCACAGTAAATGTTTGTAGATCGTAGATAGATTTAAAATAAAAAGGAGAGGTTATTAAAACCTCTTTAAAATTAGGTTACCCCCGAACATTAGGATAGTTTATTGAATTTGTCTCCGATCTAGGCCATGTGCAGAGTTCCAAATCAGCGATTTGGATTTTGGATAAAGTAGAAGAGGGTGGGAAAGAGGTATCATTCGTCAATAGAGATCAAGATAATTTGCATATAGAAAAGTCAAATATTCATTATTTTCCCTCATGGGAAGGCATAAAGTGAGGAGGGAAAGGCGTAAAGAATGATCTGTATTTGTTCAAATAAAGACACTGAGCTGGCCCAGTTGGATTTAAGACTCTAGTCTGACTACAGCACAGTTGACTTTAAGAACTACAAGTCTACAAGCAACAACGTTAATATCAAGCATTTAAGCTTACTTTTGTATTGCATAAATATGTGAGCCATGAATTGACGTCATGAATAAGCTTAGCTATGTGGAAACGACTTAGAAGTTACAACTACGAAGGAGACATTGAGAGAATGACTTATGGACACTAAGAAGCAGCTGCTTGTGACCCATGATCCTAATTTCGTAATCAATTTGAAATTTTCTCTGAAAAAATTGTCAGATATAATTGACCCATTTTTATTGATAAGACTTTTTTGTCATCATTGTTTTACTTGAATTGGATTTTGACATGTTAACAACTCTGTTCCGGCGAATTTCTAAATAACATGTAAAGTTTTATGAACTCTAGCTTTAATACAAGTTATGTTGAGATTGGTTGGACTTAACCATAAAATAAATCTTATACGAAGTAAAACATTTTTGTTATTCGTGGGAATCATACTTGATATCGAAAAGGTTTATAACAATTCACTCATTTTGTTTAATCAACCGAATTATACCCTTCGATAGAAGTAGGATATTTGACTCATCGGCTTGTAGCTTTATGAGCTGTATTTGTACTGTTACGAGATAGTAATATTAAGATTTCCAGCGGTAAATTAAGGATGTAACAAGGGAAAAAGGTGGAATTGTACTAGAGTAGTTGTTATTCATGCATGTCCGGCGTGGTGTAGGAATAAAAAGTTTCACATGCACGCAATAAAATTGTATGCAGACTCTATTGATGTATTTATGAACAGTATGCTTACATAAATAAGTTGTTGGAATGCAGAGCTTTGCATGAAAAAGATGACCACCGACTTTCACGGGCAAAGTTTTTCTTTATTGCACTAGTGTGCAGTTTTTCGTGGTACGTGATCCCTGGATACTTGTTCACAACGCTCACAAACATTTCATGGGTGTGTTGGATATTCTCCAAGTCAGTGACAGCTCAGCAAATAGGGTCAGGCATGAGGGGCTTGGGACTTGGGGCACTCACACTTGATTGGTCTGTTGTGGCATCATTCTTGTTCAGCCCTCTTATCTCACCCTTCTTTGCCATTGTCAATGTTTTTGTGGGCTATGCAATAATAGTCTACGTTGTGACTCCTGTAGCATACTGGGGCCTCGACGTGTACAATGCCACTAGGTTCCCCATTTTCTCCTCACACTTGTTCACAGCCCAAGGTCAAAAGTACAACATATCTGCTATTGTAGACAACAAGTTTGAGCTGAATGTTGCAGAGTATGAAAAGCAAGGTAGAATTCATCTGAGTGTGTTCTTTGCACTCACTTATGGCTTTGGATTTGCCACCATTGCATCCACCCTCACGCATGTTTTCTGCTTCTATGGAAGGTATTGCTACTCTAACTTGAGCAGTTATGTTTATTTTCTTACTATATTAATTTAACAAATGTGATGTTATTGAGTTTGAAATTCTGGAACATACACATACAGTAGTATGTTATAAATTTTATATTGCGCTGGTTGTCAACAAAGCAAAGTAATTTATTTGATGTTGTGGGACGTCATATAACTAAATATGCAGGGAGATTATGGAGCGCTATCGTGCTTCTTCCAAAGGCACAGAAGATATCCACACAAAATTGATGAAAAGATACAAAGATATACCTTCCTGGTGGTTTCATTCATTGCTGGTTGTGACACTTGCAATTTCTCTTGCACTATGCATCTTTCTAAATGACCAGGTTCAGATGCCCTGGTGGGGACTTCTCTTTGCTGGAGTCCTTGCTTTTGGATTTACCCTCCCTATTAGCATCATCACTGCCACCACAAACCAGGTTCAATTCTGCAACTTTTGCTCCCCATTATGTGATACCACATGCATAGACCAACTCTATGTTGTGCAAAATTTTTAAAAACTACAGTTGTTATAGATTATAGATTGGGTTCTTGGCCTATCGGCTATCGGGTTCTATATTATTTCAAATGATAACTATGCTAAAAACTTAAGTTGTTAGATAAACTGGTATCATTTGTTTAACATCTAACAATTATCAACAAAATATGAATATATATACAATTTAATCGGATGAATTTTTTCGTGTATTGGCATAGATATTTGAAAACTTCATCTTTTCATGTGTCTTATGACATAACTAGTTAGTGATATGATATCTACTCTAATAATTCTCTACTTAAAATGCCTTCTCAATATTTTCTTCTGAAACTAAGAACAATGATGGAGATCGATATTGCATATGTATCTTGTATGTAAGTTTAGCTCAGAGTCATTTTGTGGTTATTAAATAATAAATATTTGATTCATGGGACCAACTAATCTCATTTTGACTATGCTCTGTGTTCAGACACCAGGATTGAATATCATCACCGAGTACGTCTTTGGTCTCATTTACCCTGGAAGACCAATAGCAAATGTATGCTTTAAAACCTACGGTTACATTAGCATGGCGCAGGCTGTCTCTTTTCTCAGTGATTTCAAACTTGGGCACTACATGAAAATCCCTCCAAGATCAATGTTCTTAGTCCAGGTATACACTTGAAACATAAGCTCACGTCCTCTTCCCTCAAATTTAGTATGGTTCATATGCCAGCTTTTAATTATTTCCTTACTATGATCAAATAAAGGGGAAAAAAATAATACATGGTGCACAAGGCAATTATGAGCACTTATTCATAGAATTCTCAGAAAATTATTGTTTGTCATACATCTTAATTGTGATGGTTTTCCTTTACATCCAAACGGTACACATACAACTGATATTATGTATTTTTATCAAGAGAAACATTGAGTCACAATTCATATGATACAAAATCAATTATATCAGACAAGGTCAAGGGTTGGACTTTTATTTTTACTTTGCAAAGCTATAAAATGGATTAATAGTATGGAAACATATTTCAATGCCTATTCGTTGTGTGGCACAAACAAACAAGTAACTACTCACCTTATTTACTTATAAAATATATTGAACTTGTTTGGATACAAGTTATAAGTGATTTCGAGAGTTTCTCTACCCAAAAAAAAAAAAACTCTTCTAAATTTGTATTAAAAAAACTCATTATATCTATCTGGTGTTTCTGATACATTCAATTTGTTGACATGTGTGTACAGTTCATAGGTACAATGCTTGCTGGAACCATAAACATTGGGGTAGCATGGTGGTTGCTGAACTCTATCACAAACATATGTCACGATGATGTTCTCCCCCCAGACAGTCCCTGGACGTGCCCTGGTGACCGTGTATTCTTTGATGCATCAGTCATTTGGGGTTTGGTAGGACCAAGGCGTATCTTTGGTTCCCAAGGAAACTACAGTACTATGAATTGGTTTTTCCTTGGAGGTGCGTTAGGACCAATAATTGTTTGGCTATTCCACAAAGCATTCCCCCAACAGTCATGGATTCCATTGATCAACCTCCCAGTTCTCCTAGGAGCAACTGCAATGATGCCACCAGCAACACCATTGAACTACAATGCATGGATTTTCGTTGGAACAATTTTCAACTTCTTTATCTTCCGTTACAGAAAGAAATGGTGGCAGAGGTACAACTATGTTTTGTCAGCAGCACTTGATAGTGGGGTTGCTTTTATGACTGTTTTGCTATACTTCTCATTGGGTTTGGAAAACAAGAGTCTAAATTGGTGGGGAAATGATGGTGAACATTGTCCACTCGCAGTTTGCCCTACAGCGAAGGGCGTAATCGTTCCTGGTTGCCCTGCAAACTAGTGATTTTATCCTTATTTTAATGGTTTCATTACAATACATGCATGAATACGTATTGGCACATGCAAAATGTAAAACATAAAAGGTCTATATTTTCAAGTAAATAGTTAGTCGAATTGATGTGCTTTCTTTCATTTACAGGATCAATGCAGTAAAATAGTTTGGTTATAAAAGTAATACTTGTTTTTTTCTTCTTAAATTTTAAAGTAAGAAGATATTTTTCAACATATGGTCGCACCTTTCCACGGATTCCTACACTAATTATCTGGACAAATTAAAAAAATATAATAAATCACACTTTACTGATAAGTAGTTAATTTGAGTGATATTAAATTCTATTTTTTAAAAAATAAGCTTTCAAATTCGAATGTTATATATGATAAAAATGTGATTAAAAAAAAAAAACTTTACTGAGATAACCGACTACTAATATCATGGTTAGGCATGGCAACGGGGGTCGGGCAGGGTGAATTTCATGTTCCCTGCCCCTAATACTTGCTGAGAGTAAAATTTGGGTACCCATCTCCGGCCTCGATGGAGTTTAGGTTTCTCCGCCCCGTTCCTACCTTTTTTTATATATAAATAAAAATGAAAATTTTAAAAAAATTAAAAAAAAGTAAAATAATACAAATTTTTACGTATAAATATTTTTAATTTTGATTTATATATATATAAATAATTTTTTAATTATATTATTAAGCGGGGTGGGTACGGGGGCGAGGGTAGGACGGGTATTAACATCCCCGTCTCCGCCCCCGATTTTATCAACTGGGGTATTTTTTTATGTCACCTAAAAGACTTATTTGATATCGTAAATATTTGATAACTAAGTTTTTATCAAGTAATTTTTCATAGTAGTAACTATAAAACAAATACTTTATAAATAATAGTTTAATTAGAATATACTAAAAGTGTAGAGATATTTTACACTGTTATTTATAAATAGATTGTCATGTACTTAAACAGATATTGTTTTTCATAATAAGTATTTTAAAAGTTATATATAGAGAGAAAGACATGTAATTTTATGTTTGGAAGTTGCGGAGAAAAGATATACTCAACCTATGAGGCTATTTTGTTACTAATTAAATGAGGAGACGACTTTTGAAGATGAGAAAAGAGAATATCTACAAGTGTTAAAAGGATTTTGAATCAATGACCGTAGTCCAATTGACTGGTTCACTTCAAACATATATGAAGAAGAATTTATAATAATGAAATGCAAGTTAGACGTGGGTGACACGTCATCTGCTCCTCATCCTATTTTTTCTTCTTAAAAAAGACAATAATAGTTATTATATAAATAATATTATTGGAATTGTTTTATGTCTTAACTTTATTATAAATGTTTTAGATGATAGATAATTATAGTATAAAATTATATATGTTTATATTTTTTTAATTTCAATTAACATTTTTAGATCAATATGTCAACCTATATATAACTAGCAATTCACCTTCAGTTTATTTATATAAACATGTGAACTTAGAGTTTTTGTTTGAATTTATGTTGTTAATTAGTTTTGGAATTACAACAGTTAATGTGTTGCAACAGCATCAATTTGTGATAATAACGTGGTTGATAAGCACTCCTCTAGTTGACTTAGAAAAGTCATTGGTCATTACTAACAAGTAACATGGCCAATTGGGCACCCAAACGAGATAAACCCATTTACTTTTCAGTCTTTTCTTGTGTGTTTACAGTAAAAGCTGACCTCTGCCCACCAAGAAATGATTAGAGAATAAGATAATTACCCTAAACTAAACTCTTTGCAGCATGTGATCGATGGCATCGGTCTTCTCTGGCCGCCGCATTAGTTAAATGTGGATCATTTACATCTTGTCACTCTCTCCAACTTTATCCAACCCAAAACTCCTTAAAATAATCTGTTCCAAAATGTTTTTCCTTTTTCTTATTTGTTTTTTTATATCTTGGTAAGAGCCACTGTCATATGCCTGAAACCAAAGGTCTTTGCCTCTCACAAGAACCGATTATATTATCGCTGAAATATTAAATTTTCTATTTTCAATTAAATTTTATAAAGAAAAAAATATTAAACCAATTAAACTCGACAAGTTTGTAGCTTAAAAGATATTAATCCAACTAAAGAAACACTATGAAGCGATATACTAAAGAAACACTATTATATTATTATTATAACATGAATTTAAACTCGTGGCTTAAATTCGTGATATTATTTAATATTTATATATATGCATAGTTTCATGTTGTTATCACTTATTCATAACATATAAGCAACCCAAGCAAAGAGTTAGGTGCAACACTGGAACATGCTTAATACAAGTTAGTAGGGACTTTGGCCAGCATAGTTGCCAGGGGGAGAATAGTTGCAAGTGATGAAAGTGCCTCCATTATCACATCTTACTTTGGCACATCCAAGACGAACAGAGTTTCTCCAGACAATACGGGGGCGAGGGTAGGACGGGTATTAACATCCCCGTCTCCGCCCCCGATTTTATCAACTGGGAAAAACCTGAATCCGAACCTAATAAATACAGGTTTTTCCTGTCTAAATCAGGGCAGGTTCGGGCGAGTACCTACGAGAACGGATTAGATTGCCATGCCTAACCATGATTAAGAAGAAAAAAAAAAAACACTTAATGACACGATATTCTTATCTCAAGCCTTTCTCTTCAAGGAAAATTAAAATAAAATATCGAACCTTTGTACTTCATGGGATAAAGGAAATTCGCATATAAGATGGAATCCTAGATATGTTGACTTGCAATTTTCCACAATTTGAATTGGTCATCCGTTAATTTCTACTTCATAGATATTGACGTTTTGGTTCTAGGAACTTACTTCCTCTGATCATTCTTCTTCCTGTTACTTATTTCTTAATTTTAGGCAGTGATGAAAAATAGGAAAAATCGTATTAGGCCTTGCAAGACTTAGAGTTTAACCTTCAACTTTTTTTTTTAAGGTTTAACCTATTTTACATAAAGGTATGACTTACATGTACGTTAAAATCCTATTTTATAATAATTTAACATTAAAATAAAAGAAAAGATAAATGTTAAATTTTATAAAAATTGAGTATAACTCATTTATATGATGATATACACATAATTTTATAGTTTAATATAAAAATTACGATGATAACTTATTTAAAAATTAATTTGTAATAAAATTTCTCTATATTAGACATAAATTTGTCTTTCGTAAAATTATAAACTTTTTATAATTTATTTTTAAGAAAACAAATTACATGTATCTTTATTAGAGACAATCATGTTTGAGTTGAATAAATTCATTATAAAAAAATAAGACTCTCTTAAAGTATTTAATATATAATTACATACAAAAGTTAAAGTTTTATCATGTCTATTCACTCAACTAGTTAAGGAATAAGACTAACCTAATTTCACTTTGCTTCCTTCCTTCAACTTAAAGGATGGAACCCAACTCCTAACTAAACCCTCTTCCGACTGATTGTCTCGATTTCACTGCCTTGGTTGGCCACCATGCCTACTTCTCTCCAATGTCTCCTTCTTAAACCCTTTCATAGTGCAATCCAATCAATCATTTGATCAAGATGCTAATCTCTTTTGTTTGGGATTACTAACAACTTCGTACCAATTAATATATTAGTTCGTTGGTAGCTTCAATTTCTATGTAAGTTAATATGCTTAATATTTAATGAGATAAATAAATACATTTTAATATAATAACAATTTTTGATAAAATAATGATAAATATTTATTTGTTTATATTCAAATAGACCGGCTTAATAAGTTTTTTAAATGGATCAAAGACTAACAAGTGCAATTAAATAGACTTTAATATAATTTTTGACTTTGACTTATTCTCTAAAAATAATATAATTTGATCTAAGTATGATATAAGTCAGATCATAGGCTCTTGTTGAGAATACCTTATAATTTAAATTAAGTATTATTTCTATATTAATTTAATGTATTGCAAAAATATAATAAAGTGATTTTAGCATATATAATTAAATAATTATATATATATATATATATATATATATAT